AAAAAACAAAATTAAATCATTGAAAAGGCATGTTCATTATTGACTGAAAACCCTCAATCGCCAACTAGAAAGGTTACCGCTTCAGCCATATACTGGAGTGAAAAATTGGAAATCCTTCAAATAGAACAAAAATTGTTTGATAAAAAAAGAATTAATGCAATTTTATTTGAAGCAGCCTTGGGTACTTTAAATAAAAATAACATTCAAATAAACCAGTATTCCCCTGAGCGTAATCATGTGCCTCATACATACATCAAGATATGAATTACCAGTATCATCGGAGTCAAACATGGTGTTCCTCAGAGATCAAAATTAGGTCCAATATTATACATAATTTATTCAAACGTGTTAATCAATACAATTAGCTAACACATTTGCATACGCAGCCATTGTAGTTGATCATAAAAAAATACATATGTAATTGACACTACTATTATACTGCAATATCAACTAGATATAGCAATACAACAGTGTCATCATCACGGTCTAATTATAAATGCATCTAAAACTTAATTAATGTATATCAAACCCCGATATTATCTGTATACCAATGTCAAAATTAGATTCCACATTATCGAATGTCTTCACAATAATAAGCTCAGAAACTTCGTTTATAGCTCTGACAACTGCTCAACCACAATTGAAATTGTAAGTACATATGTATAAATACTTAGAAGTTGTCCTTGACCAGAATTTCAAATGGAAATTCCACATATGTATGTAAAGTGGCATATATTTTACATAAGCTAAGCTACTACTAGAGTAAACTTGTGTTGAGACAAGTCTACTTTTCTCTCGCCGAATCCGTTCGAATTCGTCATGGTATCATAGCCTGGGTCAATCCTACACATTGCTTAAAGCTTCAAAACATGCAAAATAAACTATTAAAAATATTAAATAAAAACAATAATCAACAAAATCACAACCACAACATCACATCATCTATATCAAACATAAACATTTCTAACGACACAAATGCCCTCAATGTTAAAAACATGTATGTATATTCAAAACAACTTTACCAATTGAATTCTTCAACTCGTCCAGATTTCTGCATAAAATCAACCACAATTACAGAACCAGAAGAAACATATATTGTACTACAATGTAGTAATAAATATGGAAAAATAATGAATTATTTTTCAGTGTTCATAAACTCAGTTTCCTGAACGTAATTCCTAAGAATCTTCAGGAATGTTATTTCCGGAATAACATCACTTCCAAGATACTTGGATCTAACTTCGACGAATGCCTGGCAGTGGCAAAGAAAGTGCTTCAGAGTTTCACTGTCCTCTCCACATGCTCTACATTAGTCTGAATCCGCACGTCCAATTTTGCATAGATGTGCTCGTAATCCTGTGTGTCCACTCAGAATACGTACCATCATACTAACTTCAGACTTTCTCATTTTGAGGAGATTTTTCGTCTTGCTCTCATCAGGGTCACCCCATAGGATCTTCGTGGTTCTACCCACTGTTTCATTATTCCAAGAGGCCTTATGGTATTCTCTCACCCATATTTTTAGTTCAGCTTTTGTTGCGTCGAATGGTTTCGCGTTTGTCAGGTTAACTGCCTCGAGCTCCCAACCTTTTAAAGCTATTACATTCGCCCTTTCGTTACCGACTACTCCCGAGTGGGCTGGTACCCATACGATGTGAACCTTACCTCTGGGAGAGTATTCAGTTAAAGCTTTCTTACAATCCAATACGGTCTTAGATTTAGTTCTATAGCCTGATATTCCGTTATTGCTTGTACTTCTGCTTGGAAGCTTGTGTTATGATTTGATAAACGGAGGTATATTTCTGTTTCTGGGTCAAACTGTTTAAGCTATAAAAAAAACTCGTATTGAATAAAGTTATTCATAATCAATTCGTAACTGTTCAATAACTATTGAACAGTTTTAATTTTATTCTGGCAATGCTTTGGATTTTTACTTGTCAAAAATCAATTAAATATCAGTTTTATGAAATGACAGTTTTTATTTAATATCAAAATGGGCAAGGTGAAGGATGAATTTAAAAGAAAACGATATGTATATTTTAAATGTGTTTTTGAATGAAATATTATCAGAAACATATAGCAGATTCTTCTGAAGGAGCTGGTTAAGGAAAGGGTTCGGCAAATAGAAAATAAAAACACCGACACGAACACCAACCAGAATAAGAAAAAAGCATGGTGTAATCTTCTTGAAAGGTAAATATTGCTGTGAATTCTTGGAATTATTATAAACATATATGTACATACATTTTATTTCGTTTTAATAATATGTGCAAAAGTCCACCACGATCCTTGGCACAACTAAAATCTCAATGGTGGACAACAACAAAAATACAAATGAAAAAAGAAGTGGCAGAATATTGCCAAAAAGTAGTAAAGACAGGAGGAGGATCGCCACCAACACAAAAGGCTTTAGACGCCGAAGATCTAAGTGTATGGTTTCTTAACGAATTCATAGTTGATGACAATGAGTTCGATTGTGATGATGTTGTGCAGGAAGTAAGTATTTAGTGAAATATGTCCTTTGAAATATTTGTTTGTAAATAAATTATACGATTATTTTATATCTAAAGATCCACTCACAGGTACAAAGCGAAAAAAGTTCCCAAGAAAATACAAAAAGTATAGTGGCTTAAATAAATATAATCTGAAATTCCATTTTAGACTCAATTAGAAGAAGCCGAAAAGGATTTAAACATATTTAATACGAATTCCTGTTTTATTATTCTACACCACTATATGGGGAGCACAAAAACGAATTTTCAGAATTTTTTTCGATATCGGTTAATCAATTAAGTGATAACCGCCCGTTTCATTGACCACACGTTTTCTGTTGCATTTAATCTTTAATTAAACGAGTGTTTCTTAAGAGGTGTAATTCAGTTTATTATTTATTAAAATGTTAGTGCTCGAGATTCTCTTTCTACATCTTCATATAACAGCGATAATTGCAATGGTAGCAGCAGACATGGGGAGTAATGATTACACAAAGTAATTAATTATAAGGTCAATTACAATTACTTGTAATGTGTAATTGACAAATAACTAATTACAATTATTTGTAATTGTAATTGAAGTTTTGCCAATTACAATTACTTGTATTTGTAATTGTAATTTAGGTATTACTAATTACAAATGACATGTAAGTATAAGGAACAAAATTCACAATTACAAGTAATTGTAATTTCTTCAATTACAATTACTTCAATAACAATTACAGGTAATTGTAATTGGCAAAACTTTAATTACAATTAAAAATAATTTTAATTGGCAAAACTTCAATTACAATTACATGTAACTGTAATTGGTAATGCTACAATTATAATTACTTCAAATGTAATTGTAATTGGTAATGCTTCAATTACAATTACTTCAAATGTAATTGTAATTGAAAATGTAGTCATTACCCCCCCAGCCTGGGTAGCAGGCAAAGTGTAAGTCCTAAAAAGGCTGTGTATAATTATGTACATTTGGTATGTGGGAGACAACTGTCCATACTTTTTAATGTGTCGAATTCAACAGCATGGTTAATTGTAAAAAGGGTATCCTCTTGGCTAGTTTCAATTGGACATGAACATGTTAAGTGGCCTCAAGGTACTGAAATTACTAAAATACAAAAAAAATTGAAGAAATGAAAAAGATTCCCGGTGTTTTAGTTGCAATTGATTGCACGCACATTACTATTAAAGCACCAAAGAACAATAGAGAATGCTATTTTGACAGAAAACAAAACTATAGCATTGTTTTACAAGCCTTTGTAGACCCAAACAAAAAATGTTTGGACATTTCTTGTGTAGAGCCTGGATCGTTACATGATTTCAGAGTATTAAGAAGATCTGAACTTTACTTACGAGCCGAATCAAATCCGGAAATTATTTCCAAATAAAGCATTTATTTTAGGTGATTCCCTCCTAACCGATGGATAGTACCGCCATTTAAAGATTATGGCAATTTAAGCGAAACCCAAAAAAAAAAAAAAAATCAACAAAATACATTCATCAACAAGGATAACAGTCGAAAATGCTTTTGGTTTACTAAAAACAAGATTTCGGAGAACATTAAAATTTACAGAACAAACTAACTTACTTAATATAACAAATTTAGTTACAAGTGTGTGAATTTTGCATAAAATATGTATAAGTTTGACGACTTGCATGAATTTATTGAAAATGAGTTATATGCAAATGATGATGATAGCAATTCGAGCAACCTCGAAGTTGGAGAAGAGTCAAGCAGAAGTGATGTCTAATATAATCTTTTAATTGAATGAAATATAATATAAAGAAAATGTAAAGTGCAAATAAAGTAAATTTTCTAACTAACTAACTAACTAACTAACTAACTAACTAACTAACTAACTAACTACTAACTAACTAAACTAACTAACTAACTAACTAACTAACTAACTAACTACTACTAACTAACTAACTACTAACTAACTAACTAACTAACTAACTAACTAACTAACTAACTAACTAACTAACTAACTACTAACTAACTAACTAACTAACTAACTAACTAACTAACTAACTAACTAACTAACTAACTAACTAACTACTAACTAACTAACTAACTAACTAACTACTAACTAACTAACTAACTAACTAACTAACTAACTAACTAACTAACTAACTAACTAACTAACTAACTAACTAACTAACTAACTAACTAACTAACTAACTAACTAACTACTAACTAACTAACTAACTAACTAACTAACTAACTAACTAACTAACTAACTAACTACTAACTAACTAACTAACTAACTAACTAACTAACTAACTACTACTAACTAACTAACTAACTAACTACTAACTAACTAACTAACTAACTAACTAACTAACTAACTAACTAACTAACTAACTAACTAACTAACTAACTAACTAAACTAACTAACAAATAACTAAATAAACTAACTAACTAACTAACTAACTAATCTAACTAACTAAACTAACTAACTAACTAAAACTAACTAACTACTAACTAACTAACTAACTAACTAACTAACTAACTAATTCTGCCTCCGCATTTTTTTTCTCCTCTGCTTCTTTTGTTTTTAGTTCCAATTTCTTTTCATAATATATTTGCATATACGATTTTCTTCTTTGGGGATTGCTCAAACTTTCTTTTAATGATTCAGTTGGGCCATTTCCCAATTTAAGTGTATGAGAATTGCTAATTATGGGGATATCGCCATATATTTCATCCATACATGGCGAAGCCCCAGTTCGCTTCGCGTTGTCCTTGGCTTATTTGTAAGCTGTTAGTAAAGTCCTCATTCGGCTCTCAAAGAACTTACCGTTGTTTTTGAATCCTAAAAAATAAATAAATGTTTTCATAGATATGTACCATATCTTCCAAGATCTTGAGATACCATATCTTCCAAGACATTGGAATAAGCAAATGTTTTTTCTTGTGTGGTTTAATTCATCCTTCCTTGCATTGTAGCATTTGAGAAAGCCCAACCTTTCAGCTCTGGTCCAAACTTTTCGCCTATATAAAAGTGTTAAATAATTTAACGAAAAATTATATTCTTTATTAAGAATATACTTACTTTTCAGTGAAAGACATTTTTTTAATAAAATTGATAATTTTAATTTTTTAAATTTAATTTTCTTTTTGACATCTATTCACCAAAAAGTGATACACTTTATTTTTATTGGCAGCACTTTTATCGAAGTTAAATTCAACGTGTAAATTTTTACGTGTTAACTCCTAACGGCTATAAATTTGAAATTTATATGAAATTACCCTTGAAAGTTAGCAACAAAACACAATCCTTTTTAGAAAATTACACTTTTTAATATAATTTTGAACTGAGTTTTTTTTTGCCATTTCGAGAACTTAATTATTCAGAAATTTTGAAAGTGTTATAGCTGAACTCCTTTGGACAATTTTTGCTAGGATCAATAGGTGAAAAGTTACACTTATTTGAATAAAACCCTGCATGACTAAAATGTCCCACTTTGACCCCCTCTAAGTCCGGTAGTTCTTGACCGATAGTGCTGAAAATTTGTTTCTAGACTACTATCCAATAGTACTAACCTTGGTGCAAATTTCATCAAAGTCGACATTTTGAGTTGGGTCACTTGACATGAAATTGCCCATATGTATATTGTGAACATATTTTGTTTTGTAATTGGAGTGGTGGCCCATAACAAACCCTGATATTAGGCCCCCTTCAGAATGTGACTAAGTCTCATCAATAACTTAAAAATACGAGCATTGAAATTCAACCAAAATCTATGTACAAAACTCTATAAGGATCCCTTCAGAAAATAACTTTATAGATCATTGCTGAATTAAAAATACGACGATAAAATCCGATACAAACACTATATGTTTTAAATCAACCGAAATCGGGATTCTAAATTTTATAAGGATCGGTTCATAAATTTCACAAAAATTATTGTTTCTAAAAACTGATATATTTTTATTATTATTTATAGGTTACTTAAGCCCTCATTAAAAGCCCTATTCCAAATATCATCCTGATGTTCATATCGTCAACTGAAATGCAAAAAGGTGTAACAACCAAAAATTTTAAAATCAACTTTTTGATTGAAAATGGTCCATTACATCGAAATACATGTTGTTGCAAATTTTTAGAACTTTATTGTCAAAAACATCAATTTTATTAACATGAAATTCAAAAGGGCGTAACAACAATTTAGTTATTTCCACAAGTCAAAATGTCCTAAAAAGCAACACAATAGAGAATGCCTGGAGTAACATTTATATTCAAACATGTTTATTTATGTTAGGATATAATACATGTCAGAAAGAGACATTTTTATAACAACAATAGTTTCATTTTTTTATTTTTTTGTTTCTCCGACTCCATAAAGTAGCGGAGTTGATTAAGCCATGTCCGTCTGTCTGTCCGTCTGTCTGTCCGTCTGTCTGTCCGTCTGTATGTTTGTTGAAATCAGTTTTTAGAGGACCCCAGATATCGGGGACAATCAGTCAATAAATACCGGAGATATAAGCAAAAATCCGAGACAACCTCTGACAATTTCATAAAATACTGATATTTTTTATTCATGCTCAGACAGAAATTGTAACCTACAACAATAAAACATACGGTAATTTTTTTTATTGTTTATAAAAACAAAGCTGGAAAATGAAATTATGTATGTAGAGCCCGGATTAGGTGAGAACCTATAAAAAGAAACTTTTTGGTACTTTTTTGTTCTACAAAAGGTACTTTTTGGATTTTCTATAATATTGAACCTAGAAACATGAAATGTATGTAGAGCCCGCATTAGGTGATAACATATAAAAGGGAATATTTTGGTACTTTTTCGGTATTTTTTTTATTTTTGTGTTCTTCAAATGGTACTTTTTGACTTTTCTATAATATTGAACCTAGAAACATGATACTTCATTTCATAGGGCCTGGATAAGGTGAGAACCTATAAAAGGATTTTTTGGTTTTTCAAAAGGTACTTTTTGAATTTTCTATAATATTGATCCTATAGACATAAAATTAAATATGTAGGGACCGGAGTAAGTAATAACCTACAAAAATGGACTTTTTGGTACTTTTGCGTTCTTCAAAAGGTACTTTTTGACTTTTCTATAATATTGAACCAGAAACATGAAATTAAGTTGTTGGGCCTGGATAAGGTGAGAACCTATAAAAGTGGATTTTTTGGTACTTTTTCGTCCTTCAAAAGGTACTTTTTGAATTTTCTATAATATTTATCCTATAGACATAAAATTAAATATATAGGGACCGGAGTAAGTAATAACCTATAAAAACGGACTTTTTTTTATTTTTTCGTTTTACAAAAGGTACTTTTTGAATTTTTTATAATATTGAACCTAGAAACATGAAATTTAGCATGAAGGGCCGGGATTAGGTGAGAACCTATAAAATGGGACTTTTTGGTACTTTTTTTTACTACAAAAGGTACTTTTTGAATTTTCTATAATATTGAACCTAGAAACATGAAATTTAGCATGAAGGGCCGGGATTAGGTGAAAACCTATAAAATGGGACTTTTTGGTACTTTTTATACCCTTCACCTTCGTGAGAAGGGTATATATAAGTTTGTCATTCCGTTTGTAATTTCTATAATATAATTTTCCGACCCTATAAAGTATATATATTCTGGATCCTTATAGATAGCGGAGTCGATTAAGCCATGTCCGTCTGTCTGTCTGTCTGTTGAAATCAGTTTTTAGAGGACCCCAGATATCGGCGAGATCCGAATCTTCAATAATTCTGTTAGACATGCTTTCGAGAAGATCGCTATTTAAAATCAGCAAAATCGGTCCATAAATGACGGAGATATAAGAAAAAATCCGAGACAACCTCTGAAAATTTCATAAAAATAGACAATTTTTCTCATGTTTTGATTAATAAGCAACAACACTGCTTATTCATTGAGTATTTCGTTTCACATGTTTGGATGGCTGTGTGTTTCATTGGCATGTGTATATTGTTTTTGTTTCTTGGTGTATTTAGTTTCGTATGTTTGGATGTCTGTTGGTTTCATTGCCTTGTGTATATTGTTTCTGTTTCTTGGTGTATTCAGTTTTGTATGTTTGGATGGCTGTGTGTTTCATTGCCTTGTGTATATTGTTTTTGTTTGTTGGTGTACAGTTTCGTATGTTTGATGTCTTTTGGTTTTACTGCCTTGTGTATTTTGTTTTTTGAGTGTTTATTTCGTTTAGCGTTGTTGTTGTTCATTTTGTTTTGCTATTGCTATAATAATGATATAATCGGGAAAATTAAATATGTACATAGGTACATAAATTTAAATTTTATAAAATTTATATTTTTTAAATACACTATGGTGAAGGGTATATAAGATTCGGCACAGCCGAATATAGCACTCTTACTTGTTTTTACTACAAAAGGTACTTTTTGAATTTTCTATAATATTGAACCTAGAAACATGAAATTTAGCATATAGGGCCCGGATTAGGTGAGAACCTAAAAAGGTATTTTTTGAATTTTCTATAATATTGAACCAAGAAATATGAAATTTAGCATGTAGGGACCGGATTAGGTGAAAACCTATAAAAGGGGACTTTTTGGTACTTTTTCTTTCTGCAAAAGGTACTTTTAGACTTTTCTATAATATTGAACCTAGAAACATAAAATTTAGCATGTAGGGCCTTAATTGGGCGAGAACTTCTAAAAGGGGACTTTTTGGAACTTTTTGGTTCTACAAAAGGTTCTTTTTGAATTTTCTATAATATTGAACCTAGAAACATGAAATTTAGCATGCAGGGCCTTGATTAGGTGAGAACCTATAAAAGGGTACATTTTTGTTCTACAAAAGGTACTTTTTGAATTTTCTACAATATTGAACCTAGAATCATGAAATTAAGTATGTAGAACCCAGATTAAGTGAGAACACATAAAAGGGGACTTTTTTGTACTTTTTTTGTTCTACAAAAGGTACTTTTTGAATTTTCTATAATATTGAACCTAGACTAGTTGGACTTTTTGGTACTTTTAATTTAGTACAAATCTGGAGGAAACGATTTTTGCAACTTTTTTGTTCTGTGAATGATACATTCTTTGGTTTTTATGCACATATGCTACACCCTGATTAATCGAAAATCTATAAAAGGGGACTTTCTGATACTTTTTCGTGTTACAACTGGTATTTTTGCGATTTTTTTTAATAATTTTTTGTACTGGCTATTCTGTTTAACACATTATGGTGAAGGGTATATAAGATTAGGCACAGCCTAATATAGTACTCTTACTTGTTACTTTTTAGTATTTAAAATATTGCTGTCTACACACTATGATATGTATAAATCGTTTGATTTTTATTCCTTACTGACAAAACAAAATAAAATGAAAATAGGTATGATTATCAAAAAAAATCAAATAAAAAAATATTTGTTATTTCTACACTCATATTTGAAATAAAATGAAACTTCAATTCAAAAAAATTCAAAGAAACATAATTTTTATTTTAAATTTAATTTTGTTCCTGTTTTTTCTGTGTTTAAATAAAATTAAAACTCTGATACAATGAAAAAATCCAATCGTTTTGAAATTTTTCAAAAAAATGTTAATTAATCATACGACTTTCAATTTTCCAACCGTATTTTCAATAAGTTCCATTAAATTTTTATCTATACTATATTATATTTATTAAAAGTGGTGGTTAAATAATAAAATTGTCTCACTATTATATTTATACATAGCTGAAAATTAATAACCAATAGCAACACAGGTTGTGTGACGTCGGACCTCCGATATGCGCAGAAAGTTTCAGTTATGTGATCCTGGTGTCGTAATCTTAAATTTTTCATTCTTGGCTAAAGAGGCTATTTCGCTTTCTCTCGGCATTTTTTTTATTAAAGACCGAACCACACAGCACAAAACATTTTTGAATACTAAAGCCCCCTTCACACGAGCACACAAGTAATATGATTTGTCAAAATTTTGTGTAGAAGAGAACGGATGGGATCGTCTAAACGCAATTTGTAACGAAATCATCACACATTGAGAGAGAATACGGATGCAAAATTTGACAGTCGTATGGCTCTCTTCATTTTTTGAAATGATTCAAAAAAGAAGCAAGTCGCATTAGATC